TTTCATGATTTGATATTATGATACATGAAATAATTTTTTAACTATGCATATGATATGTACTATGATGTATTGCATATGACTTTTACAAAGAAAGTCGCTATGATTAAAATTGTTTCGACTTGAATTCCAAGACTAGCATTGAAGGGTTATCATTTTCTAAATTAGAGTTTATTTCAATATGATATATGGACAGGGGGAGTTTAGTAAAAACTCCGTCATCAATTGGTTGTCATCATCAAAACGGGCGAGATTGTTAAATCTCGAATTTTGATGATGAAATCAATTGATGAGTTTATGAACTAATGAGCGTTTGAGAAAAGTAACGCAGGACAAACTTTGATCATGGAAAGACAAATCACTAAAGTAGGAGAATCAGATGTTGGGCCGAAGTGCATCATGTCAGAGATCGGGCATTGGGCCAGAAGGATCGGATATTGCGCCAAGAAGATCAGATGTTGTGGGAGGTCAACATGCCGAAGGATCAGACAATACACCGAAGGAAAGGACGACGCGTAGAAAGTTTGGACGAAGTACCGGATGAACTAATGACATGTCGAACAACGTAGGCTTCATGATTGTAATCGTTGTCTTAATCGAAATAGTTTAGAGTCTAATTAAGTTGGTTTTGGGTGTAACCATGCTAACTTAATTAGGAGCTTATTGGGCCTAAATCAAGGTTGAATTGGGCCTATTGGAAGGCCAATTCAGTGACTTGAGGTTGGGCCATGCGTTGGCACCACTAGGCTAGTCGTTGGTATTGCCTATGAGCTGGAAAGTACGAATTATACTTTTTCGAAAAACGATGGTGGTACCGCCCAGTGTCAAGCTGTAGTACCTCCTAGACTGGTGGTGGTATCACCAGAACACAGTCTCCCAGACTGTGTCAGGCGGTGGTGTCGCCCAATGCAGGCGATGGTACTCGCCAGTACCCTGAAAACCTTAGGATTTGAATTTTTTATTTCATTTCTGAAGTCATTTGGGGCATATAAATACTTCTCTCATGCTTGCTTGACAACGTATGAAAAGCTTGTGATTTTGAAGTGTTGTAAACTCTTAAAAAGTATTGAGCCTCTTCCTTCTTGAGTCTAAAAGTTATTCTAAGGGAGGTGAGAGGTCTTTTGTAAAATAGGGGTGTAAGAGTTCTCTCCTAAATCTGTAAAAATGAGAAAGAGTTGTAACAAGGGTAGTTTATTTTCGCCTATTGAAAGAAGATCGATGGTGAAAACCGGTAGCCTCGAAGGAAGATAAATCGAGAGTGGACGTAGGTCAGGACGAACGAACCACTATAAATCTAGTTTGCATTTCCTTTTTTGTCTTGATTTACTACTGCATATTGATTTACTTAATAAGCAATCCTTACTCGCACCTTTTGTTAATCACATTTTCGATACAAATTTATTGATCGAACTTTCAAACCGAATTTTTTTTAAAAGCACTAATTCACCCACACCCCCCTCCCCCTCCTCTTAGTGCCTTTACGATCCTAACACGATCAACGTATCGATACATTATATGTTGAATGTAGTTGTTGATGGCTTATTTCTTCTATATGATAATTAATAGTAGGAAAAAATGCATTAGCCTAGTTGGTCTTTAGATTTTTATTGATGCCATACCACCATGCATGTTGATTCTCATCCATGCTAAAAGTTATACAACAATTAAGGAGTTGACTGATTGTAACATACAAGAACTTTTGTAGAATTAATGATGGTCAGTTGAAGTTGGAAGAAAACAACCTTTCAAAAGCAATGTTGGAGAACAATAAGTGCTATTTACTGGACTGTGGGGCTGAGGTTTTCATTTGGGTTGGCCGAGTGGCACAAGTTGAAGAGAGAAAAGCTGCCAGCAAAGCTGCTGAGGTAGGGTATTTCTTTTCTTTACTCTATTTTTTTTCTCACTTCATCGTTAATGGCGTCTTTAATGACAAAAAATTTAGGATTTCATCATCAGTCAAAACAGACCAAAAACAACACCCGTCCCTCAAGTTATTCAGGGTTATGAAACACATTCATTCAAGTCAAAATTTGAATCGTGGTCAGCTGGTACTGTGACAGGAATGGGAAATTCTACTGGAGAGGAGGGACAAGGAAAAGTTGCAGGTACGAGTAGAAGATTCGCCAACCTATATGATTTCAAACTAAACCTTTTCTGGCCAACTGCTTGTCAGGATAGAATTAAGTTCAATCTTCAATGGATTGAGTTGTATCTTTATTTATGTTTACCTGTAGTTCATATTCAACATTTTATTGCACATTTTGCATCAAAAGATCAATTTTTAACTAGGCATAATCACACATTACAATTTGGTAATTCTGCTAGAATCTAAATAATTATTGAATTTGGTATTTGATGCTCTTCGAATAACCAGAATGCGGGCTGCTTCTCGATCTTGCTAAGTTTTCACATGGAAGGTCCACTTTTCAACCCTCCAATTCTTTTTTTCTGATTTGGATTTAAATTATTGATAATTAACCCCATTAATATATAGCCAACCTCGAATTGTTAGGATGTTACAGCCTATTGTTGTTGTTTTAGTAGATGTTCATGTGACCAAATCTTATTACCCAAGCCTGTTGTGTTGGTCTTGGGAAAATCAAATTTAATTATTAGACATGAGCTGGTTTCATTTTGGTGACATTCATCATTAATGTTGATTGAAGATGTTATTTACTGCTTAGATGCATGCTGATGATTGATCACTATATTTGAACCTAACCATTTCTTTGCAAATATTTCAGCAGATTTATGGGATAAAATGTGTAAGGTCAAAATACTGTTTGCATTAGATACTTGGAAAAGTTTTTTGGTATAGATACTAGGTGATACTTGGAAAGTCAAGGAAAAGGTTTTCTGGGCCAACATTATCCATTCCATTTATTGTGTCCTTGGAAAAGTTCGGTTGGAAAATTATCAACTGAACAGCTCAGCAATTGGTTTTTCCTGTCAGTACCTAACCTTTGTCTGGACTTTGTGAACTGGTTTAAATCATCTACTACCATGTTTATATTATCGACTGAACAGCTCAACGATTGGTTTTCCTGTCATTACTTTGCAACCTTTATCTGGAGTTCTGGACATTGTCAACTGGTTTAAATCATATTCTGCAATGTTTATCTTTATGAAAATATTCAGTTTAAGAAAGTTTGTGAAATATGGCTTTATATATTTTAATATATACTCTGCTGACGTCTACATGGTACTAACAATACCATTACTGGATTTGATTCAGGTGGCTCACATTCCTGGTGCCATATTCTTTGATATTGATCAGATATCTGATCCAACATCTAATGTGAGACATCCTAGTGTGTTTCTATACATTCAAGTTTTATTGCTTGTAAATTGAATTTTTCTCATATCTATGGTGTTTAAAGGAATTGGATTTGTCTTCAGGTTAGGTATTGGAAAACTCAATAAGGCGACTCTTTTTTTGTTTGCAAATAGAGGTTCTAATCAAGCTTTGTCCGGAAACTATAAGAATTGTATTAATTACATGAATACAAATGTCACATCCTCTAGGAGAGAGCTGTAGCAAAAAGTAAATCTATGCTATGCATGTTCTACCTAATTTTGCTACCACTAAATCAAGTGAGTCGTTTCCTCGTAGACATAGTAATTGATATGGATGGCACATGTTATGCGTCAAACAGAAAGTAAAATGCAGCAGTTGTACTTAAAATAGTCATTTTTAAGTTAAGATATGGATACTAATATTTAAAGCAGTCTAGAATGCTTGAAACTTTCTATTATAATAATATACTTGTTGATGCACATAATTGCTTTATGCCTAATGGTTATGAGAATATGTGCACGTTTGACAGATGAAAACAATTCATCAATACTTCCATTTCCTTGTCACTCATAAAGTCTTTATATATCCTTGATACACAGGAAGCATTCTATATGCTTTTAGAAATTAAAGCACAGTTCTTTCCTTCCAGAGAAGCCTTTTGTGAACATTTAGTCCAGTTGAAACCCACTTCACTTTGCCCCTCATTTGTAACATAACTTTGTTTAATGTGTAAATACTAAGAATTTTTTGGATAATTGAGAGGCATATGTCCATTACTAGTGGTGATTACAATTGGATTATTTATTTTCATGAATTTGCAGTCTGAAACATTTAAGTGAGGGATCATTTATGACAACTGAGAAACAAATGTCCACAATTATTGGGCATATTTTGTCATTAGATATCAGATAAGAAAAAATGGCATTCACTACATGGTCTTAACTTTCATATTCATTTGCCTACCTTTTGTTTCATGTAATTTTGGACCTGACATTATTTCTTGGATAAGGCAATGATATTTAGTTGATATATATGTTTCCAAGGAAACTATACGTCTAGATCACCCATAAATGTTATTTACTTGATGAATCTCTTAACTTTTTGAACTTATCTAAATTTAAATGCGTTTTTGAATCAGTTGCCACACATGTTGCCATCAGATGAAGCTTTTGCTGCTTCAGTTTCTGCTCTTGATATTCAAAACAAGGATGCTGTTATTGTTTATGATGGAAAAGGACAATTTAGTGCTGCTCGTGTTTGGTGGTAAGAGTAGAACAATAACTTGATGATAAAATTCTGTTGATTTCTTTGTAACCACTTAAGATGAGCCTCAATATGTTGGTGAAATTTTAGAAAAATACTTCTGGAATTCTAGACTCCTCGTTATTACAAGGAAATCTGTTTCCTAATGATATCATTTGTTGCAATCAAGGTTCAGTTAAGTTCCCAGGACTAGTTTCTTGTGTTTTTTAAATTATTTTATACTTTTCTAATACTATGTCATTAGGTTATTGGTTCTAAAGTAATCTGCTTGGTGTATGTTACAAGGTTGTGGTTGTGCCAAATTTAGGATCAATTTGTGCATCAAAATTATAATGATATAGTTAATTTATCTGCTTTAGGCTGTACATAACCTAGACAATTGGGACACAAAGATTCTCAATGAAACAAAAAATTGCAGTGTGAGGAAAGATTCTGGAATTTTTCCAGCTGGATTTGACCCACTGTGTAAGAAAGATTTGGGAAGGAAAGGGAAGGGGATCTTTTTAACACTTCGAATGATGTTTGATGGATTTTTTAGTGCCATTTTTTTGTCTCTTCCCATGACTTCTTAATTATTTAACTCCTGTATGTGACCTTTATTGCCCTTCTACTTTCTGTAATCAACCGATAATATTCTGGTCTTTCATAAATTTATACAGCACAATATAGCAGTAGCTACTCTCCCTGATTATAGCTGCTTCAAAACTTCTTTTACCAGATCTAAGTTTTGCCATTTGATTGATCTAAGTTGGGCCAATTGATTGATCTTTAAACTTTAGATATTGTCTACTGTAGCAGACACTGTAACGAGCCCAGGTCGAAACTCTGGTACGGTACGGTACGGTACGGTATTGCGGACCTTGGTTAAGATATCTATTTAACTCTTAGGGG